AGTCTTTCCTTTTTTTTTTTTTTTTTTTTGAGTTGGAGTCTCATTCCCATTGCCCAGGTGGTTGTGACACATTCACAACCACCCCAGCATTAACCTGCTGGGCTCCAACGATCCTTCTGCCTCAGCCTTCCAAGAAGCAGGAACTACAGGCACATGCTACCATGCCCAGCTAATTTTTTATTTATTGTAGAGATGAGGTCTCGCCAAGTTGCCTAGACTGGTCTTGAACCCGCAGGCTCAAGTAATCTACTCGCCTCAACCTCCCAAAGTGCTGGGATTACAGGTTGAGCCACCGAGCCCAGCCACAGTCTTTCTTAACCTAACATTAACACTTACAAAGCACCTAGTAATACCTGGCACATAATGTATGCTCAAAAATTTTTTATCTCCTTCCCCTTTATAGCCTTAAAGGATAAGAGACCTTCAATAATACTTTTTTTCTTCCAGGATAATAATCCAATTTCTTTGGTCTCCCTCACAAATCTGGTATTCCAAATTTTATTTTTATTTGATTCTTACGTAACTTTTTTTTTTTTTTTTTTTGAGATGGAGTCTCACTTTGTCACCCAGACTGGAGTGCAGTGGCACACTGCTCCCGGCCACCGCAGCCTTAACCTGCTGGGCTCTGGCGATCCTTCCGCTTTAGCCTTCCAAATAGCCAGAACTACAGGCGTACACACCACGCCCGGCTATGATGCTTACTTAACTTTTATTGAGTTAGCCCAGATTCCTCCTGAGACTGGGAACAAAAACCCATAAAAGGAATGAGACAATTCAATCTCATTCATTTCTGTCCTTCTGTCTAGACCTCCCAATTCTAGGCACCCCTTCCTTTCCAGAGACAAGAACTACTATATTCAGCCAGGCTCGGTGGCTGAGCCTATAATCCTGTGCCTTTGGGAGGCTGAGGTGAGTGGATTGCCTGAGCCCGCGGGTTCGAGACCCACCCGGGCAGGCAAGACCTCATCTCTACAATAAATCAAAAAATTATCTGGGTGTGGTAGCGCGCACCTGTAATTCCGGCTACTCGGAAGGCTGAGGCGGAAGGATCGCTGAAGCCCTGCAGGTCAAGGCTGCAGTGGCCAGGAGCAGCCACTGCACTCCAGTCCGGGCAACAGAGTGAGACTCCAACTCAAAGAAAAAAAAAAAAGAACTAAGCCGGGCTCAGTGGCTCAGCCCGTAATCCGTTGCCTTGGGAGGCTGAGGTGAGTGGATTGCCTGAGCCCGTGGGTTCGAGACCCGCCTGGGCAACTTGGCGAGACCTCATCTCTACAATAAATCAAAAAAGTAGCCGGGCGTGGTAGCGCGCGCCTGTAGTTCCAGCTACTTGGAAGACTGAGGCGGAAGGATCGCCAGAGCCCAGCAGGTCGAGGTTGCGGTGGCCGGGAGCTGCCACTGCACTCCAGTCTGGGTGACAGAGTGAGACTCTAACTCAAAAAACAAAAAAGAACTACTATATCCATATTTCTCCTTCCATAGGTGTTAATTTTGCATCCCTATAAGAAAAACACAGGATACCAGATCTGTAAATTATTACTATCATTTGATGCTAAGTAAAGTTTTCATTACCAACATATAGCTATCATAGTAATTTGGGATCAGTGTCTATGATATTAATAATACACTGAAGTTCAACTACATTCAATTTTTTTTTTTTTGAGTTGGAGTCTCACTCTGTCACCCAGGCTAGAGTGCAGTGGCATGCTCCCAACCACTGGCCTTGACCTGCCAGACTCCGGCAATCCTTCCACCTCAGCCTTCCAAGTAGCTGGAACTACAGGTACGTGCTACCACACTCGGCTAATTTTTGATTCATTGTAGAGATGAGGTCTTGCCAAGTTGCCTGGGTGGGTCTCGAACCTGCTGGTTCAGGCAATCCACTAGCCTAGGCTTCCCAAAGTGCTGGGATTACAGGCTGAGCTGTTCAATTTAACAGTAAGACTCAGGGATTTAAAAATCAAGTCCAAAAACAAACTGAGGTCCAGAACAAACCACAACTGATTTGCTAAATCAGGAAACAAATCAGAAGCAAATATTTTGCTTAAGAAAACAGCAAATATTTTCTCAAAAAGCTGATATAACATTGACGCTAAACCTGCAAATTTCTTTAAAATACTGAACACAGGCCAAGCATGGTGGCTTATGCCTATAATTCCAGGATTTTGGGAGCCTGAGGTGAGAGGACTGCCTGAGCCCACAGGTTCGAAACCAGCCTGGGCAACTTGGCAAGACTTCATCTCTAAAATAAATAAATAAAAATTAGCCAGGCGTGGTAGTGCATGCCTATAGGTTCAGCTACTTGGAAGACTGAGGCAGAAGGATCACCTGAGCCCAGCAGGTCCAGACTGCAGTGCCCATGAGCATGCCACTGCACTCCAGCTTGGGTGAAAAAGTGAGACTCCAACTCAAAAAAAAAAACAACCAAAAAACCAAAAAAAAAAAAAAAACCCAACAAACAACTGTATATGACAAATGGACAATATCTAACTTACACCTAGCTCCCAAATCAACATTCCATTCAAAATGGAGATACCACCTCCTTATAATCATTTTAAGAAATAAAATGAGTGGGCTGGGCACAGTGGTTCGAGCCAGTAACCACAGCACTTTGGGTGGCCGAGGCGAGAGGACTGCCTGAGTCGAGGGGTTTGAGACCACCCTGAACAACTTGGTAAGACCTTGTCTCTACAATAAATCAAAAAAATGAGGCCAGGCTCGGTGGCTCAGCCAGAAATCCCAGCACTTTGGGAGGCCGAGGCAAGTGGACTGCCTCAGCCCGCGGGTTTGAGACCCACCCAGGCAACTTGGTGAGACCTCGTCTCTACAATAAATCAAAAACTAACCGGGCGTGGTAGTGCGTGCCTGTAGTTCCAGCTACTCGGAAGGCTGAGGCAGAAGGATCGCCGGAGCCCAGCAGGTCGAGGCTGCGCTCCAGTCTGGGTGACAGAGTGAGAGTCCAACTCAAAAATAAATAAATAAATAAATAAATAAATAAATAAATAAATAAATAAAATGAGCTAATCTTAAAGAAGAGTAAAAACCTAAAGATAACCAAACTTCACCACCTGACTTCCATCTTGCCCAGGCCCCAGTTTGTCTTCATCTGACTCCTAATACTTACTATTTTCCCATCATTTAAGTCCAACTCTTAGCACTGACTCCCACATCTCTGCTGTCTACATCCTTGTATTGTCCACTGCCTCCATGCCTTACCTAAGCCCAAATGTTACCATGCAATTCTAGAATTCAATGAAGTTGAAGTCTGAAAAGAAATCGAAAAAAATTTTAAAATATCCTATGTCATCCATTTCTAGGATATTATCTCCAGGAAATTATCTGTATGTAAGACTCCCACCTTTCACTACAAGCAAAACCAGAAAGGTAACACATCTGTTTCCTACCACTCTCTTCTTGACGGTTTTATGAGGACGCCAATCAATGCTGACATGTGTGTTGAAGTCTTCAATAAGTTGCATAGCTGCCATCAAGTTACAGGGTTGGAACAAGGTCTGAAACTTGGAGTTGAACTGATGGTGAAGGGCCATGGAGCTTTGAGCAAAGGTTCCCAGCTCCTTCTGTGAAAACAGGACACAAAAGAGATCTAAGACAATTCCTGACAATTAAACATTATTCCAGTAAGACTGCTCTTTTTCTGATCTAAAGATGAGGACAAGAACCCGATAAAAATATCAGGTATTCCTCAGCTTTGATCTAAGAGCTCCTGACCTAGATTTAAGATTCTCAAGAATGAGAGCCATTACTTGAAAAAATTTTTTGTCTTTGATCTTTCTGAACGCCTACAAAGTACTCCTCATGATGCTCTGAACATAGTAAGAGGTGAATACATTCTGTTGACTACCAAGGAAGTTTAGAGTACTATCAAATGTACTCCTCGCACTACAAAGAGGCTTACTTAAGAAGCAGACATCATCATTATCTGCCTGAAGGTTTGGGGGCAATTTTTATAAGGGTTTAACATTTCAAATTTAAAAGCCCTTCCTCCAAAATATTTCAAAATGTCACATTCAAAATTAATTCTACAAAAAAGACACTAACATTGAAACTAATGAGTGAGCAATGAATTTGACTTTTTTTTTTTGAGTTGGAGTCTCACTCTGTTGCCCAGACTGGAGTGCAGTGGCATGCTCGTGGCCACCAAAGCCTTCACCTGCTGGACTCAGGCGAACCTTCTACCTCAGCCTTCCAAGTAGCTGGAACTACAGGTATGTTCCATGGCACCATGCCCAGTTAATTCTTCTTGATTTATTGTAGAGACGAGATCTCGCCAAGTTGACCAAGCTAAGCTGGTCTTGAACTCCTGGACTCAGGCAATCCTCTCATCTTGGCCTCCCAAACTGCTGGGATTGTAGGCATGAGCCACTGTGCCCAGCCTATTTTTCGATTTATTATAGAGACGAGGTCTCACCAAATTGCCCAGGCTGGTTTGAACCCCTGAGCTCTGGCAATACACATGCCTCGGCCTTCCAAAGTGCTAGAATTACAGGCTTGAACCACTGCACCCAACCAAATTTGACATTTACAAAACAAATAACGGTACCAAAAACCTAAGAAGCCAGGGTGATCTAAAGATGTGGACAAGAACCCATAAAAATATCAAAAGGAAAGCATTTAGAAAATTGAATACACTCTCTATCCTTTCATGAGAATCCATGGCTTATGCTCTCAGCAAACACAGGAAACCAGAATAGTTATTGTGCATAGCCAAAAACATTCAGGAAGGATGAATAAATGGAAATGAAGATCAGTGAATAACTGTGAGATATGACTTGCCAAGCTAATTTCATATTCAAATCTTTAGAGTTAGGGATATTCGGAACCTTACAAGAAATATCGTGGTTGTATTGGCCTCGGAATCGAGACTGGGGTTTGAGATGGCGAGAAGGTGGATTTGCGTCAACAGCTGAACGTGCTGGGAAGGGAAAGAAGATAATAGAGTGACATGTTATGATGCTGCCATCTCAGGATCCTAGAGAGAGCTTACTAAGATGTTTACAATGTTATGAGACTGACATTTTGCCTACTATGCGAAGGAGGCAAATTGTTTAAAACTTTATCACACTTATTTTGCTTTCTGGAGAACATAGGATCTTGATATAAACTTCTCAGATACGTTCTCTCGAGCAAAATGAAAGAACCAGAGGAAGTTTAACCTCAAACCAGGACAGATATTAGAAAGAAGAAAAAAATGCTTTCTGGGGGTGAATGCTCTCAAATTTCAGAATGGATTACTAAGGACTCTTAGAAATCTCAAATTCTGAATACTATTAGAGTCCTTGTGCTTTCCTGCCTGAGCTATAATATAAGGCATGAACTTGATGACCTCTCAAGGTCCTAACTGATGTGAAAATCCTACGGTCCATGGTTTCATAGGTAGTAAGGTACCTATCTCTGACTTTTATAAAACTACTAGATCAAGAAGAGTCTCACCTGCTGCATCTGCTGCTGAAGTCTCCTTCTCTGTGCTGCATCTAGAATCAGAGTCTGATGAATTTTCTCACTCTGGGGCTTAACCTCCACTTCCTGCTGCTGTTTGGCTGAAGATTTCTTCATTTTCAACTGTTCACATAGCTCCTTCACTGTCCGATGTTGTTCATTTAATAAGTTGGCCAGTGGTTCCTCAAATCTATCCCCAAGAAGGAGATGACTGCATCTGAATATTTCCCAAGGTCCATAAAACACCCAGCTCCATCTCATGGTGAGCTAAGAGAGCCTACTGTTAATCCCCAAATCCCACATTAGCCAAGAGTCAAACTCCCAGCTTTATCCACATCTTTTCCTGAAATTGTCAGCATAGATTCAAATAAGCTAATTCTTTATTATCCCTTACCCCATTCTTCTATAATTACTCCTCTAAGCAATATACAAATGAAGAGGAAATTAAACAAAACTCTAGGAACAGAGAAATTTCTGAATAACAAAGTAGGCAAGGAGCTAGTGGGAACTTATAACTTGTACATGTCCTCTCATTCAGCAGGTCCAGCTTGTCCTGTCTTCCTGTCCACTCAGGCTGCCCTGCCTTCCTTTCTTAACAGGTCAAAGACCTTCCTGCATAAAGCAGGAAAGGGATATACTAAAATTCTCGGTAGCTTAGATGAAGTTAGTTTCAATATTGCACTACTAGCTGGGTATGGTGGCTTATTCCGGTAATCCCAGCATTCTGGGAGGTCAAAACGGGTGGATCACTTGAGTCCAGGAGTTTGGTACTAGCCTAGGAAACATAGCAAGACCTCATCTCTACAAAAAAATTTAAAAATTAGCCATGCATGGTGGTGTGTCCCTGTAGTCCCAGCTATTTGGGAAGCTGAGGCAGAAAGACCCCCTGAGCCCAAGAGTTGGAGGCTACAGTGAGCTATGATCATGCTACTAGATGTACAGAGTGAAAATCTGCCTCAAAAAATTAATAAATACATAGAACATAACTGCCGTCTAGAAAATATCTTGTTTTAACCCTTTTAAAATTTCTCTTCTTTCCGGCGATGACGACCTACCCACGAGAACATGCCTCTCGCAAAGGCTCTCCTTCATCCCTCTCCAGAGAAGAGGAAACACAAGAAGAAGCACCTGGTGCAGAGCCCCATCTCCTACTTCGTGGATTTGAAATGCCCAGGATGTTAGAAAATCACCACAGTCTTCAGACATGCACAAACAGTAGTTTTGTGTGTTGGCTGCTCCACCGTCCTGTCAGCCTATAGGAGGAAAAGCAAGGCTCACACAAGGCTTCAGGAGGAAGCAGCACTAAAAGCAATCAAATCAAGATGAATGGGAAACCATCCCAATAAACACATTTTGGATATTAAATAAATAAATAACAAATTTATCTTCTACGTTTCCTTACCCTAACCTCCCAACCCTACCTTCCTCAGAGACTGTTTCCAGGGCTGAAGCAAAAATCCAAATATCTAGCATGTTAAACAGTCCTGAAGTAAAGGCAGAACAAGACACCTAAATGATTAAGCACATGCTGACATCCTATGGAATCTGGATAAGTAATTATGACTAGTTGGTTACCATATTTCAAGGAATCCCGTATAATGGAGCAATAATTAAATAACAACTTTTTTCAACAGCCTCTGGGAATGATGTTTAGATTTCCTTTTATAGTATATACTGCAGGGTTGGACAGCACAGGATCAAAGCCTAAAGACCATGGGACGGTCTGTACAATCTTTTCTGAGAACTGAAAACTTTTGATCATCTGTACTACAGAAGAGCAGAAGCACAGAAAAAGCAGATATGCAATGTATCTAGCAATAGCTAAAAATATAAGAGTACAGTAAAAAAATGGTATTGTAATCTTAGGGGACCGCCCTTATATGCTGGTCATCGCTGACTGAAATGTCATTATGTGGAGCATGATTGTACTTAGGCGGCTGCTGCTTCTCTTTCAGTTGCAAATAAAAACTTGGTTTAATCATTGACTAAATAAAACATCCTGGGTCCTGTTAAGCCCAGAGACAGTTAAAAACAAACAACCCTGGGAAAGTGAGGGACTGCTGAATGAGTTTCTAAATGGTACCATCATATAATTTACCATTGGCTCAAGCACTTTGGGAGGCCAAGATGAAAGGATCGCCTGAGCCCACAGGTTCGAGACCAGCCTGGGCAACTTGGTAAGAAGCCTATCTCTACAATAAATCAAAAAATTAGCCAGGTGTGGTGGCGTGTGTCTGTAGTTCCAGCTACTTGGGAGGCTGAGGTGGAAAGATCCCGAGCCCAGCAGGTCGAGGTTGCAGTGGCCGGGAGCGTGCCACTGCACTCCAGCCTGGTTAACAAAGTGAGACTCCTACTCAAAAAAAAAAGAAAAAAAAAGGAAAGGTACATGATCTCATTAAATTTCCCTAACAAGGAATAACTTCTGCTTTTTTCTTTTTTGAGTCGGAGTCTCACGCTGCTGCCCAGGCTGTAGTGCAGTGGCAAGCTCACAGCCACCACAGTCTCAACCTGCTGGGTTCAGGTCGGGCTGCTCCTTCCACCCCAGCCTTTCAAGTAGCTGGAACCACAGGTGGACATCACCATGCCTGACTAATTTTTTTGATTTATTGTAGCATGAGGGTGGCCTTGAACCCATGGGCTCAGGCAATCCTCTCATCTCTGCCTCCCAAAGTGCTAGGATTATAGGTGTGAGTCATCACGCCCAGCTAGGAATAACAACATTTTCTTTTTAGATAAGTACACTTATTTAAAATTGTCAGTTGGGCACAGTGGCTCCCATCTGTAATCCCAACACTTCGGGATTTTTAGCTTCACACTTTGGGAGGTGAAGGAGAAAGGATTGCCTGAGCCCAGGGGTTCGAGATCAGACTGGGCAACTTGGCAAGATCTCATCTTTACAATAAAATAGAAAAATTAAGCCGGGCTCGGTGGCTCAGCCTGTAATCCTGCGCTTTGGGAGGCTGAGGTGAGTGGATTGCCTGAGCCTGCGGGTTCAAGACCCGCCTGGGCAACTTGGCGAGACCCCATCTCTACAATAAATCAAAAAATTAGCCGGGCGTGGTAGCGCACACCTATAGTTCCAGCTCCTTGGAAGGCTGAGCGGAAGGATCGCCGGAGCCCAGCAGGTCGAGGCTGCAGTGGCAGGGAGCGTGCCACTGTACTCCAGTCTGGGCGACAGAGTGACTTCAACTCAAAAAAAAAAAAATTAGCCAGGTGGGGTGGGGTGCACCTGTAGTTTCAGCTACTTGGAAGGCTGAGGCAGAAGGATCACCTGAGTCCAGCAGGTCAAGGTTGCTATGGTTGTGAGTGTGCCATTGCACTGCAGCAGAGACAATATAGTGATACTTCAACTTAAAATTAAAATAAAAGTCATGTTATAGACTGAACAGTACAGGTAGATTTTTAGCTTAAAAAAAGTAAAATATAGCTTATCTAATCTGTGAAGACTATTTATTTATTTATTTATTTGAGCTGGAGTCTCAAGCTGACACCCATGCTGAAGTATAGCCACAACGTCCACCTGCTGGGCTCTGGCAGTCCTTCTGCCTCAGCCTTCCAAGTAGCTGGAACTACAAGTGTATGCCACCACGCCCAGCTAATTTTTTGATTTACTGTAGAGGTCTTGCCATGTTGCCTAGCAGTCTCAAACCTGTGGACTCAGTCAATCCTCTAGCCTCTGCCTCTCAAAGTGTTGGGATTACAGGCATAAGCACCAGTGCCCAGCAATTTTTTTTTTTTTTTTGGAGCAAGGTCTTGCTCTGTTGCCCAGGTTGAAGTGCAGTGGCATATGCAATCATAGCTTACTACAGTCACAAAATTTTGGGTTCAAGTGATCCTCCCAGGCCAGTCTTCCAAGTAGCTGAAAATACAGGCGAAAGTCACTGTACCTGGCTTATCTGTGAGAAATGTCTGTTTTGCTTCGTGATCTTTTTTTTTTGAGTTGGAGTCTTACTCCGTCACCCAGGCTGGAGCACAGTGGCATGCTCACAGCCACCTCAGTGTCAACCTGCTAGGTTCTGGCGATCCATCTGCCTCAGCCTTCCAAGTAGCCAGAACTATAGGCGCCTGCTACCACACCTGGCTAAATTTTTATTTATTGTAGAGATGAGGTCTCGCCAAGTTGTACGGGCTGGTCTTGAACCAACGGGCTCAGGCAACCCACTTGTCTCAGCATCCCAAAGTGCTGGGATTACAGGCTGAGCCTCCAAGCCCGGCCGCTTGTTTTCATTTTTATAATAGCTTTTTTTTGAAGGATAGACATTTCTAGGTTTTATTTGCTTGTTTTTTGAGTCAGAATCTCACTCTGTCGACCAGGCTGGAGTGCAGTGGCACACTTACAGCTATGCATCCTTGACCTGCTGGGCTCAGACAATACTCCTGTCTCAGCCTTTCAAGTAGCTGAAACCACAGGCTTGCGTCACCACGCCCAGATAATTTTTTAATTTATTGTAGATGTGGGTCTCACCAAGTTGCCCAAGCTGGTCTCAAATCCCTGGACTCAGGCGATCCTCTCATCTTGGCTTCCCAAAGTACTGGGATTATAAGCGTGAGTCACTGCACCTGACAAAAATTTATAGTTTTGACAAAATTTGTTTATCAGATTTTTCTTTTATGAATCATGCTTTTGGTGTCATGACTAAGAAATCTTTGTCTAACCCAAGGTCTCAAAGATTTCCTCCAACTCCTTCTAGGAGTTTTAAAAATATATATATTTTAGTTAGAGTATCACTGTTGCTCAAGCTGGACTGCATGGCCACCGCAGCCTCGACCTGCTGGGTTCAGGTGATCCTTCCACCTCAGTCTTCCAAGAAGCTGGAACCACAGGTGCATGACACCATGCCCGGAACTTACAGGAGTACGCTATTTTTATTTATTGTAGAGACAAGGTCTTGCCAAGTTGTCCAGGTTAGTCTTGAACCCGTGGGCTTAGGCAATCCACTCGCCTTGGCCTCTCAAGTGCTGGGATTACAGGCTGAGCCACCAAGCCCAGCCTCAGCCAGCCATTTCTAACCCTCAAAGTACTCATTAACAACAAATCTGGTTAGTTTATATTCTGGTTATATTTATGTTCTCTACATATTTACTAAACTTCAAGATACTACAAATTACAAGAGACTGCATAGATGCCAGAGTCATTCCTGGGCCCCAACACAGCCTCATGGACCTGGACTCGCTGGTGAGCTGGCCTCG